CTGACTGAAACTGGTTTGGCTCAGTGGATAGAGCGTCAGTCAGTGGACTGAAAGGTCCCAGGTTGGATTCCAGTCAAGGGCATGTACCTTGGTTGCGGGCACATCCCCAGTAAGGGGTGTGCAAAAGGCAGCTGATTGATGATTCTCTCTCATTGATGTTTCTAACTGTCTATCCCTCTCTCTTCCTCTCTGTAAAAAAATCAATAAAATATATATATATTTTTTAAAAAGAAACTCCCAGCTTTTAAGGCATGTGCCGGCAGGGGAGAGAGTCGGGGGTGAGGATGCGGGGGAGGGACATGCACAAAGGCACAGATTCTAAGTCAGCGGTCCCAACAGGTGGTCTGTGAAGTCCGGAAGGCTGGGCACCACTGTTCTAAATGACAATCTTCTCCAGTGAATGATGTTAAAACCTCGAAACTTAGAAAAACAGAATGGCTTGGAGAACTTCCCCTTGATCCAGCGAGTCCGCAGTATTTTTTGTTTTTAAAAATGTCCGCATACACAGCAGGGAAAGCAAGACAAAGAGACAAATTCCCAGAGCTATTTTCAAACGAAAGCACCTCCAGGGAGATCACTGGTTTTCCTAGTAAGATTTCTGCTATTATAACACCGACAAGGCCTGTGTGTAACAACAACAAACGTATTTTAAGAGTAAGACCCTCCACTGTTCTCCACCATCTTCTGAATCACCCCAGGGGGTGGTGGGGGAGGCCAGGGGTTGGTCACCTCAGACCAGCAGCACAGAGATGCTTCTCACATCTGGGAAGAGCATCAGATGGGTCCGTGTCACTTGAGCGCTGTGAGAACACAGCACGCAATGGGAACACACTGGGAAACAGACACTGGGGTGCAGCCTCTTGTGGCTTCGCTGGACGAGGCCAAAGCCCTTGGCCGGAACCGCTCGGATTCCACGGAGCCTGCCTCATGGAAAGATCGGCAGGGCCGCTGTTTTACTCATCTGGCCATTTCGTAAGAATGCAATGTCCCAGTGCTGCCCACACAAGCTGACCCAGCCCCGGGTGTGTTACAGCCGTCGGTGCCGGCAGAAGCCGCCAGGTGCCAGCCGTCCGTGGGATCTGGGTTTGTGCCCACATTCCCGAGCCTCCCACAGTCACCCCGTGGATTACACTGCTGGGAGCTCCCATGTGATCAATGCGTTCACGAATAATCACGATTCGTCAATATGTAAGCCGTTCACGGAAGCTTCCCCAGGGACCAGTGCGGCCAACAAGCAGCAATTCATTCCCACGTGGCGAGCCCCGCCCTGTGCCAGACGGAGGACGGGCACAGAGCACCCGCAACGGCCAAGGTGGGGCCAGCGAGGCTCTGGTTGCATCGCTTCTCGGTGTGGCACCTGCGTGTGTTGGTCTGGCTCCTGAAGCTTCGACCTCAACATCTATAAACGGGGATATCGGAGACCCACCTGGCAGGCTGGCCTGGCTCAGCTGAGGAGAGCAGCAACCCCCAGTGCATGCCCTGTCCTCCGAGAGGTCCTCCCCTGAGCACCCTCTCCAAGCTGCATCGGGTCCCTCTCGCCACCCCCCCTCTGTGCCCTGGGAGCTTTCCTTCACGGCACTTCCCAGTCCCTCCCTGCGACACCTTCTGGTTGGAGGACCTGATTCTCACCTCTCCCTCCCCTCCGGGCTGTACAACCAGAGAGACAGAGATCCTGTCTGCCTGTCCGCCACACCCACAGCCAGAACAGTAGCCCGTGCTCAGTACGTTGACAAACACACAGAGCACAAAGGGAAGGGACAGGGACAGTCCTCATCCAGGAGCTGACAGGCCAGCGGCATTCCAGTCACCAGGGAGGAGTTTTCACCCCATCCCGATACCCGGGCCCCCTGCTTCTGTGTTCTCGGAGCTCTCCAGCCGATGCTGAAGAACCGCCAGAGCTGAGACTCCCTGGTGCAGTGGTTGGCAAACTTTGGCTTGAGAACCGTGGTTTGCCGTTCTGTTGACTAATGAGTTTGCCAACCACTAACCTAGACTCTGGATTCCAATAACTACAGGCTGTTGTTGTTCCTTGTGATTAAGCCCCTATCCCAGTGGCCAGCAAACTCATTAGTCAACAGAGCCGCAGTTTGCCGACCCCTGCCCTGGTCTAACGCGAGAGAGGCTGGTCCACAGTTACAGTACAATGGGATGCATGTTCTCTCTCCTGCAGCAGCAAGACCTGCGTATGGGGGTGGAGAGGCCTGTGTCTGCATGCCCCAGGCCCCAGGCCCGGGCACAAGTGACTGCCGAGCACGTAAGGTGGCCACTGAGACTGAGGACCTGAATCTTACATTATGATGGCAATGGGTTTAGTTTTAAAAAGCCGTATGTGACTAGAAGCTACTTTACTAGCTCATACAGACCTAGGGTGAAGGACACAGAAGTAATCCAGGTGAGGGTGGAGGGGGTGGAGGGGGTGGCGGTTAAAGGTCACTCGGCTGTGGCCCCAGCCACAAGGAAAAAGGCAACCAGCCTCTGCCCACGCCCTGCACTCCCACCCGCACAGCCAGGGACAGGCTCCGCGCCTGCGGCCAGGGCAGCTGTGGCCGAGGACGTGCTTTAAAGAAAAAGCACAGCCCTCGAGCCAAAGAGCCTGCGTGAGCCGCTGATGGATGTGGCAGAGGGAGGCAGCGTGTCTTCAGCGAGGACACTTGGGGAAAAGGAGTGAGATGGAGCTCCAAGCAGTCAGCATGGCAGCGCCACCCAGCTGCGAATCAGGATCTCCTTCTGGGCGCCACACAAGCTGAGCACCTGAGGCACACGCTGGGACATTGTGGAGAAGTGACACTTGTTCCCGAGGCAGCACTGGCTCACTAAGCTCTTTATAACATCACAGTGGTCGGTGCCCAAATTGATACAGAGGCGGCCGTGCGATTGCTTCTGCTGCCGTTCCCATCGCCGGGCGCTCATAAGTACCTACTGTGCAGCAGGCAGTTCGCCAGAGAACCTCAAATACCACCTCACTGTCCAGATAACATTCTGCAAGTCAGCCATTATTTTTTCACTTTGTGGTGAGGCACTTTAAGATGTAGGGAAGTTAATAATTTATGTGACTTCAACTAGTGGTGACAGAGCAAGGATTCAAACTCAGGTCTACACTGCCTTAGTTTCTTTCTTTTTTTTTTTTTTTAAAGGCTGCATAGTATTCTACTTATATTCTACTTGTGTATTTAGCAAACCAACTTGTACATAAATTTTAAGTATACTTTTAGTAGTGCATAATAGACATACGTACATATGAAAAGGTATATAACCCCCAAGTGTAGCATTTGATAAATGATCAAAAAGCAGACATAACCATGCAATCACACAGAACCATGCCGGCACCTCGGAGGCCCTTGTGCCGCCGGCCCTGCAGCCATCCATCAGCCTCCTCGGAGGGCCCGTGAGGGCCTGCCACTCAGCAGGAGTCACACACGCCGAGAAGACAGGAGTTACAAACTGGGCGTTCCATCCAGGCCAAGCCTTAAAACAGCACTGGGTCACTACGTCAGGAGACAACTAACGTTCATCTCCCCTAATCAGAAGTCAGTGTTTTATTGGACGTAAGGAACGAGAGAGGGTGCCAGGGAACCGGTGTGAGAAGTGTGAACTGGAAGATCACAGGGCGTCACAGGCCTCGGGGCTCCCAAGGCCAGAGACCAGGCTTCCGTGCGGGAGGTGGGATTCCCAGCCCGCAAAGGAGAGCAGGACCACAAGCAGCCGAGGGCTGCCTCATCCCATGTTCCTTCCAGCACTCTAACCTCATGATGACTATGAAGATAGCATAAATAAGACATAAAACTTATATGCAGTAGAAGTGCATGGCACTTACGGCACTCCCAGGAAGTGGCAGGCTCTGCAGATAGGAGCTCATTAAGTCCCTTCAACAACCGTGTAATAATGCTGCGACCCCCGTTTTACTGGGAGAAAACGGGCGTTCAAAAAGGGAAGTGACCGCATGGGGCAGGGCGAGGATGCCAACCGCCCAGTGCCGCCTTCAAGCCGGTGCCCTTCCCATCAGACCCTGCGGCCCTCCCTTCAGGTTCTGTTAGGGTACGGAGAAGTGATTTCGTAGGAGACCTACCCTCTGGCCACGCAAGCCGGCACCGCAGTGATGACAAGGGGTGTGAGGGAAGAGACCTGGAAACCCATTTTCTGTTCCTACTCTTTCCTTCCCCGGGGCGCTGGAGCCTGCAGCGCATTTCCCTGGTCCCCGCAGCTCATCTTAATTTGGTTTTCTTCTGACTGACAACACGCTTTTCTCTTCAAGGCGACAGTCACGGGCCCAAAGTGAAAACAACTGGTGACACAGCTCACCTGGCATGCCCTCGGCCACAAGGTTTGAGTAGCCAGAAGTGCATCCAGGGCTCCTTTTAACCCTACCCCTACCCCTCTCTGACTTTGACTGATTTTTCTCCCATCCAAGCACTAACCCGGTCCGAGCCTGCTTAGCTTCCAAGATAGATGCATTCGGGCTAGTGTGGCTTTCAGTGATTTTCCAATGTGGAAGGTATACTCTGGAGAGAAAAGATCCTCGTGTGTAATCGAGGCCACTGGTTTATAGATTGTGACACAGAGATTTTTAAAGATCTCCTATGTCACTGGTGGCAAAATTACCTATCATTTCACTAAATATTGAACACATGTTTTATTAGAGTTGACAGTCAGTATTCTCTTGCTTTCAGGCATACAGTAGGGTGGTCAAGACGTTTATATAACTTTCTAAGTGATCCACCATCTATGAAGTTTTTACACGTATAATATAAACCCACTGCGATGCATGTTTTTCCTTTTACTTTGGAAACAGTAGCAGGGCTGGACTGAGAAAAAAAAAGAGAGAGAGAGAGAGAGAGAGAGAGAGAGAGAGAGAGAGAGAGAGAGAGAGAGAAACTGCACTTCTTTAACCTCCTGCTTTTTCCATTTGGATCGAGGCTTCTGTAACCTCAGCATCTTACAAACAACAGGGCAAACGGCAGCCATTGCCTGAAACCAAGCTAATCGCTTTGACGAGTACTGACCTTGACCAGAGTTGTAGATGGCTTTCACAGACTTCTTCACCTTCTGCAAAGCTGTTCTATCTTGGTCTAGCGCCTGAGAGAGAAAACACAGGGGGAAAAAGATGTTGAAACACTTGGGGAGTTCAAAAACAAAACCTCATTCGTAACGACATTTGTTTTGCCGAGTGCCATAGCAACCGCGAGCGGACATATTTATTAACAGTGAAGCATTTTAAATGCACGGTCCTTCCGCAAAGCTCGGGGTCGAGGGCTGTGGATACTGTGGCTGCCGGTCGGTTATCGTTCTGTGCGGTGCAAACACCAGGCACCTGCAAAACCATAGCCCCGCCTGCCTCAGCCGGAAGGGAGAGAGGCAAGCTTCACCAAGGAATGGCACGGACCCGGGAACAAAACACACCTTATCACCTGTGGCCACTTCAGCCAGAAAAAAAATACTCAGGGAGTGTTAACAAGAGGGCCCGAGAGCTTTTCACGGCACTTTACACTGGAGGATCGCTTTTAGTGCTAAAAAAAAAAAAAAGTTTAAGACACAGTACCCGTATGGTTTTAAAATTCTGTTTACTACAAAAGCACAGCATGGGGAATGCCTCGAAGTGCTTCTCCCAGTCCACGGCGCGGGGAGATGAGGAAGCAGAGGCCTGAGAAGCCTGACTTGCCCAGTGTGGCGGAGCTGGGACTGACCCCGAACCCCATCTAGCCACAACCTGGTGCTGCGTGCCAATGGCATCTGGAACGCAGAGGCACCAGGGGGTCTTGTCAGAGAGGGGACCACCACCAGCTTAAAGCGGAGAGTCCAGGTTAGAAAACTGCAGGAGTGTGAGGGAAAGAAAAGAATGCAAATGTGCAAATGCGCGCCAATCTAAGCGATGGCAAGGTCGTTAAAAAAGCAATCCTAGCCTGGCCGGTGTGGCTCAGTGGTTGAGTGTTGACCTATGAACCAGGAGATTACAGTTCAATTCATGGTCAAAGCATATGCTTGGGTTGTGGACTCGATCCCTAGTGTGGGGCGTGCAGAAGGCAGCCGATGATTCTCATCATGGATATTTCTATCTCTCTCTCCCTTTCTCTCTGAAATAAACAAAATCAATTTAAAAAAATAATCAATGTGGTCACCATTCATTTTTTTATAGATGCATTATTGCCACTTTTTTTTTAATTTTAATTTTTTTTAATTTTTTATTTTTATGAAAGCCTGGGCCTTACAGAAGTGAAGCAGGCTGCCCAGGTCAGAGAATCAGTGCCCGCCCCTGTGATGTCCACCAGGCACCTCTGCGTTCCAGAAGCCATGCCTACGTATCCCCTGGCGCTGACCACCCCTCAGCTCCTCCTGAGAGAGGAAGCAAGGTCTGCTCGGGGAGAGAATGACCCATCAGTCCAGCTCCTGGGAGTGAGGCCCCCGGGGTGGGTCCAAGGGGAGCTCATGGGTGGGCACTGATGCCCATGCACACCTAGCGCTCCCGGCTCCCCATGAGCCGAGGGTTGTGGGAGATTTCAGCCGTGACCTTCTAGGAGCCCAGCTCTCTGCTGTCCTGCTATTTCCCCCAGGAAAAGCCTCGGCATCCAGATTGAATTTTTACCAACTCATCTATGAACTAATATGGTGTCAAGTTCACACTTTTTTTTTTTTTTTTTGTAAGGGATAGTGGAAGAGAGAGAGGGAAAGACAGAGAGAAACATCAATGTGAGAGAAATACATGAATTGGTTGGCTCCTGCATGCAACCCGACCAGGGCCCGGACTGGGGAGAAGCCTGCAACCAAGGTACCTTCCCTCGACTGGAATCGAACCGGTGACCCGTTGGTCCTCAGACCAATGCTCTATCCACTGAGCCAAACCGGCTAGGGCCATACTTGCTGTTAAAAGTTATTAAAAGCATTCGAGTTTGACAGCTCCATCACAATTAAGTGCGGGTGACAGGCTCTTTCACACTCTGGTGTTTGGCCCCCGGCAGGAGCAGCCAAGGAGAAGGCACTGGTAAGGGCGGCGGGTTTGAGAGCGCCGGGAGACACTGTCACTCAGTCACTCCGACGCCCTCCTGCCTCCAGAAACAACACGCCTAAATGTGCACCCAAGCGCCACTCCTTCCGCTGCCTGCAGGGCCAGCCTGTCACCTTCAATAGCAGCTGAGAAGTGGTGGAGAAAGGGGCTGTGACATTATCAGATCTCCCAGCCCAGCCCAGGGATGTCACCCTGCCAGCATTGCTAAGCGAGATCTGAAGGCAAAGAACTCAAAAGGGAGAGAGAGAGAGAGAGAGAGAGAGAGAGAGAGAGAGAGAGAGAGAGAGAGAGAGATGAAAAAACAACTAATCTCCAGAAGAATATGCTGAGCTCTAATAACAGAAAAACAATATCTCTATCTATCTATCTATCTATCTATCTATCTATCTATCTATGTATCTATCTATTATTTATAAATATATTTTATTGATTTTTTTACATGCTACCTTGTGAGTGGAGCGGTTAGGTGCCTAATTCACATTCTCTAAGCGGGAGACAGAGACAAGTCCTCCCGCCGCCTCACAGCCAAGTCAGTAAATTATTTACCTGCTGTAAGGCCCACAGATGACAGCGTGTAAGCATACAATTATAATGTAAATCAGAAAGGAGACCAGAGAACAACCCAATGTGGTAAGGAGGAGCACTGTGGGTAAAGGTGCCGGGGGAGAGAATGACAGGGAAATAGGACCGCAACCTCAACCAGGAGGAGAGGGGGGCTCGGGCTAACCACGCAGGTACTTGCTCTGAGGACCAGCACACTTGGCTTCTGTATCATTCACCTGCGTGTTCCTATGAGCAGCCGTGCCAGGCATGTACAGTACACGGCCCTGCCAGGCACCAGCCTATGTGTGCACACCACACACCGCCTCTGCCTCTGCCTCTGCCTCTGCCATGGTCCCCGTCCGCTGGCTGCAGCAAAACAACAACACACCGCCACTAGAATCCTAAGCAGGAGACCTGTGCTGCCCGTGATAAGATCGATGAAAGGAGAAGTTACTCATCAAATATTAATCCTTGCTAGCCCGGGGCTTTATCAGCACTTGCCGTATCTTTTAGGTCTGCGCAGCTCTGTCTCTTCCCCCTTCAATAAGCTAGACGCTCTCAAAGGACTAACGCTGTGTGTTTCTTTCTTTGCATAGAAGATGTTCAGTAAGAATTTGCTGAATTCAATGAAAGGAACATACACACACAAGGAAGAAAGGGTGAATGGGTTCATTGTTACTGGAATAAAATCCAGGTCCTCGCTGCTGCCTGCCAGGCCCCCTGGGGTCCAGCCGGCTGCCCTCTGCCCTCTGTTCCCACACTCTCCAGCTCTCAAGTCTAATGCACACCCACAGTTTTTCTGAACCTATCCAGTGTGGCCCCGCCTCGGAGCTTTTGCAATTGCTGGCCTTTCTGCTGAAATCCTCTTCTCAAAACTCCTCCCCACTTCTAAAGAGGCCCGGCCTGCTCCTTCTCGCTCGCTCTCTTTATTTTCTCAGGGTTCAGGTCAATGCTGGGAGCAGAGCCGCTGTGAATTTGCAGAGCTTCAGTGGGCACGGGGTGCTGGGAAGCGACCTGGGGGACAGCTGTGCCACCCAGCATGCCCGGAGGTTCGGTCTCCAGGGGGCAGCAGGGCGAGCTGCAGGCAGGCGGCGGCGGCAGCTCCCGGGAGAGGAAGTGAAGGCGCTACCACTCGTTAATTTCAAGATGAATGTGAACCCAAGGCGGCCGCTACACAAGGGGAAATGATCACCTAAAAAAATTTTTTTATTTGCATAATGAAACCAAAAATGGAAAGTTAATGCGTCCTCCACAAAGACGGGTTGTAAACCGGTTGAGCTATTTCAGACTACAAAGGGGCCTGAAGACTCAGGGTCTCCTGTGCCCACGCAGGTTCAATCAGGAACATCTCTGCTCCCTCTGGCTGGGCGGCTGCACGGGGTGGGATCGAACCCAAAGACAGCCAACGTCTGCAGAGGCTGAAAGACTGCGGTTTGGGCCCCAGAGAGAACTTGCTTCCCAGCAAAGATTCCAAGTGGCATCTTCAGAAACCCATCTCGAACATTCTGAGGACAGAGTCCCTCCAGGCATGAAAACACCACCCACCTATCCAACGCCCCAAAGCAAGAAAAGGCACACCAGAAAACGGTAACCCACAGGCACTGCCGGTGGGTGTGCGCACATCTGGAGGCAGGAACCACACCAGGCCCGGAGCAGGGGCTCAGTCACATCAGGCAAATGAATCTGGCCCACAGAAGGTCACTCAAGTGTTGAGGGGTGGAGGGGAGCACCCACAGATTGGGCGGGTCCGGTCACAAATACCTCCTGCACCCACATGCCAAGGCCCACACTCGCTGCGGAGGTACCCGGTGAAGACAAGACACTTTCCTTCCTCAACGTGGGAGGCGGAAACCAAGCAAGGACACGCGGACATTGCTGAGAAGAGAGATGCCTGGTGTTCAGAAGCACCGAGACCAGGCGCCCGGAGCACATGGCCACGTGGGAGATAGAGACGGGCAGGGGTCAGGTCACGCTGGGGGGAGAGGCCGTGGACAGGAGTTTGCTTTACTCTGAAGGCAATGGTTAGCGAACACAGAGCCTCCGGGGTTCTGGAAGAACGAGGCGACTCGTCCTGATCCACCTTCACAACAGTGGCTCTGCTGATGTGCTGGGAACGGGAGGCAAAGGAGCAGGCTGGAAAGGGAAGAGCCCACAAGCTGGGTGTTTCACAACAGAACTGCTCTCAAGAATGTCTGTGTGGCTCAACCCACTTCCTCCCCCCGGACCGCACCGCACACTTCAGGCTCCCTCCAAAAACACGCCTGCCCCTCCACACCCATGCGGCACCTCAGAGGATGGATCAGGAAGCCTGGCCGGACCTAAGGCCACGTTCCGCTTGCTTAACCCTCTGTACCCACAAGCCACCAATCCGCCAATTCTCCCTCCCGGCACAGTGAGGCCATTGCAACAGCTCTGCCTGCTGGACCTGACGCTGCCCAGCCAGAGCAGGGCTTCCCCGCCGGGCTGTTCCATGTTCGCCCTCCACCCCCTGCCTCTACTGAAAGCCCACCCAGAGCTGATGGAGCCCGTCCCC